CTTTGCCAGAATGTGTCGTCTTTCAACCAATCACATAACACATCACAAACTTACATTGATACATCTCAAACTTCTGGCTAACTTTATAACAGGTTTTATTGCTAAACTTTAAGATCTTTTACTCACTTAACATATTGCTTTGCTTACATAATACATATCTCAGTTTGCTTAAAACATATTTCTACTTAAAATACAAACTTATGTTCTTGTTTTATGTTTGTTTCACTTTAATGCTCTAATTCATCAAGCCTTCTCCAAGGTCAAACATAGTATCCATCTCTATCTCTGAGCCTGTATGCACAAGGCCCTGAGAACTCTCTGTGCCTGCATTTCCCACACTTCCTAGATTTGGAGGACTGCTGCCACTACTGTCCTGAGGCAGGCTGACCATCCTTTGCTCCCTAGGAATAACGTATCCAATCATCACATACCCTCGCAACTTTCTCTGAGTCTTCTCTACAAGTTTGTGCTACTGGGCTAAAACCTGCATTGGTTTCCAAACCCAAAATCTTCTCTTCTACTTCTCCATCAACCAAATCATTCATGCATCTTTTGCCTGCAGCTGGAGGAAAGTCTCTAGCTGCAACCTTATCTACTCTCTCAGACCCTCTTGTCCCCTTGTGGCTGTCACGGGCCTTCCTGCCCCCTCTCTTTCACAACCATTCTTTATACAGTGTTTCCCAATACTACAAGCCCAGCAGCATTGTTTAGGCTTTTTTCTTGATCTTTTTCTAAAGCTAAAATCACTTAAAGACCCCTTAATAACAAGTAATACTGTGTCTGTGTGTCTGTCTGACTGTGTATGTAATACATACAACACCTTAACAATTATGGATTCCTCGGCTCCTATCACCTGTTGCAGCAGGGAATGTACTACCCATGTCCCCCCCAATCCTTTGTCTGCCCTGTTATGGGCTAAAACTTTCACTACCGTGGTCACCTTCTTCCAATTCCACACCCACTCCATGCCTTTGTACACTGATAAATTGACACTGAAATGGACTCCAGAATTTTTTTGTGCTTTGATCTCCACCCACATGGCTAACTTTCTCTGCTGGAAATCCTGTGCGGTTTGCGTAGGAGAAATTGACAGGATCTCAAACTTTAAACAATTTAACCTTTACTTGTTTCATTGAAGTAAGCTTGAGAGAGACATGTGGTTTGACTGTGAACAGGTGGTCGAATCACCAGCAAAATGACAGCTGGTGGCAGATCCTCTAGGCCAGGTAAGACCTTCTAGTATTGAGCATTTGTGACATGAAGATGCACTGCCTGAGCGTGACGATTAAGGGGGATATTCTAATTGATGTGAGCAGAGTCAGAAGGGAGTTGTCCTGGTTTAGTGCAAATTTGGGAGAAAACCTCCAAAGGACACCCTGTCCTGGGGTACAATGCAAAAATGTGTATTCTATCACCATCTGTTAAAATGTAGGAGGGGTGGTGATCCTTATCTCTGTGGGAGATATCCTCTGCTGATGTGCCATCTGATAAGATCGGGGGATGATCATCGTTATCTATTCACAACCCATCCT